GATACTCTGTCTCCCCACTATGTCTCTTTCTCCTACTTTACAACAGCTGCAGACTGTACCATCACTGTTAGTGCTGACAACAGTGGTGCTCTACTCCTGCCGTTATGAAACCCTCACATCACAGCTCTGGGTTTCTTTCTTTAAAAAAAGCAAAAAACAAACAAAAAACCCCCAGTATCTCCTGTTTATATCTATGCAAATACTGTTCAGTGAAAGACCAAAACAATCTGATTATATATCTCTTTCTTTTATTCCAATATCATGAGTCTTCTGCCTCTTCTAAGAAGAAATATTAGCATCAGGGTCAAATGCATGGATCTTATTCATCATAGATTGTAGTTGGCAAGATCTGAAGATCTTTCAGCTTTCCTTCCCTTCTCCCCTTTCCTTCCTCTTTTCTTTCTTGTCCAATAATCTCACTTTTAATTTCATAGTCTGTTCTTGTTTTCATAATTCTCTTTTAAAAAGAGCATCTTGGATTTATTTTTCACCTGAAATTATTTTTTGACCCACTCTTAGAATAAAGCTTTTAAATATTTGGTTCCCTGAATATCTGTTCTCTTTAGGGTCGGTTTTTGTTTCATTTTAGATATTTTTTATTTTATGTTGAAAGCTTTCATCATTTTTCACACCTTGGCTCCCACCCATAGTGAAAAGACTATCAAAGAAGATGGGAAATTCCATAGGTGGGTGAGACTGGTTTAATGGCATGCTTTGCTATAGGGTGAAAAGTGCAAGAAGTAGTTGTTAGGATGAAGGTCCTTATAATGCCTAAACAAGGCAGCTTTTGTTCTGGAACATAATCCACCTAATTCTCTAGTCCTTCAAACTGTTTCTAGCACATAACTTTCTCCCTCCTATATTTTTTGCTTGCCCACAGCCAGATACTTACTGCAAGACAAGAAAAAAGGGGGAGGAGGGAGAGGAAATTCAGTTTCAGAACAGATTTTTCAATTAATCCTGTTTTCTCCCACACCTCTCAGTGTACAGCTCTGCCAGGGGACTGTGGCCTCTACTGCAGCCCTCTTCACAGGACCCTGGCTTCAGCCTTTCCCACTCCGCATCTCCAGCTGATGCCCTCACATCTGCTTTCACCTTGCTCAAATTTGCAGGTATGGCCTCTCCCACTTTCTTCACCATGGTTGATTTACAGTTCAGTCTTTTTTTGAACATGTTGCTGAATGACTTTTTAAAATGTTTATTTATTTTTGAGA